ATTTTACAAATGAAGACTCCAGGTCTTGCTTGATAAAGTGATTCACCCAAGGACACCTGGCCATGAATGACAGGGTCTGGGGGCCAGAGGAAAGATGGCTTGTGTTGACACTTTACCAAAAATGAATATAGGTCAGGTGTAGTGACCCATGCCTGTAATCCCAGCAATTTGGGAGGCTGAGGTGGGAGGATCACTTGAGGCCAGGATTTCAAAACTAGTCTAGCAACATAGCAAGACCTGATCTCTACCAAAATTTTTAAAAATTAGCTGGGTGTGGTGGTGCACACCTGTGGTCCCAGCTACTCCAGAGACTGAGGTGAGAGGATCACTTGAGCCCAGGAGTCTGAGGGTGCAGTGAGCTATGATTGGGCCACTGCACTCCAGCCTGGACAACAGAGTGAGACCTGGTCTCTTAAAAAGAAATGAATAGAATTATTGGATCCATCTCTGGGACCCTAATAGAGACTGGGCCAGGGTTCAGAGGTGCAGTTAGAATTGCCCCCTTCAAAAGACAAGGAGGAGACACAAGTCAAGATAGCTGGAAGATAATCTTCATTACATGTCTTGATTTCCTGAACATCCAGACCTTCCCTCACATCCCATGGCTACTGACTTTGATGATTGTCTAGGGCCAAAGTCCATATACACTGATACTTCAGATTACACACAATCCAAATCTTTCCACCTTCCAGTGTCTTTCACTGGAAACACTATTGATAGTTTGGGCAGGACAATTCTTTGTTGCAGCACTGACTGTTTGGACTGCCTGGCCTTCACTCACTGAATATCTGCATCTCCAGTCATGATTATTACAAGACAAGCCTAAATATTTCCAAATGCACACCAGGAGGGTGGTGCTGCCTCCCTTTCCTGTCCCTTCTATTGAGAATCACCAAAGGCTAGATGGCAGGGCTGCATCTATGCTGAGCAAAGTGCATCTGAGTCAGGCCAGGAAAACAATCAGAGCAATGGACGAGTGTGACCTTAACAACCACTCTCAAAATGGTCATCAGAATTTCCTGTGGGGTCTGTTAAAAATAAGATTCTCAAGCCCTGCCCTCAGGGAGTATAATCCAGGAATACACATTTTTAATCATCTCACCAGGTGATTCCTATGCACACTGAAAGTTTGAGAACCACTGCTTTTGCAGTAGTTGTCAACCCTGATTTCAAAATGCCACTGGTCACACCCTACTCCCAGAGATCCTCAGTTGATTTAGCCGCATGGGGCCCCGGCGTTGTGAGTTTCAAAAGCTGCCTAGGTGATTCTAATACTCAGCTAAAGTGAAGAAGCACTACCATTATGGAATCTTGCCAGGTAGCAGTAACCACAAATTAATCCCCCCTCTCTCTTCTGGGTTAGATGCAAGTAACTTAAAACAATAATATTCAACCTTGGCTGCATCTCCCAGTGAGCTTTATAAAATCCCAATGTCTTGGCCACACCCCATGCCATTGAAATCAGAATCCTTTGAGGTAGGACCCAGGCCTTAGTATATTTTAAGGCTCCCAATTTACTCTAATGTGCAGCCAAGTATGAGAACCATGGATTCGGAATATTTTCCTGACTTCTCCCATAACCCCTCTTGTATCTTTCCTCCAACCCTGTAGTTCTAAAAGTCTGAGTTTGTGGGGTGGGGCTCAGGGTGAAGACAGTAAAAGGAGAAAGGGCAAGATTCAACCTGGTTCCCTTTGCCGCTCCATCCTTGGCCACTCAGGACTCCAGGAAAGTTAAAAGGCAGAGAAGAAACTTCTAGACCTATTGTTACATGTTTCCCAGAGGAAGATTCTTGGACTAGCATCAAGTTTGTCTTTTATCTTGATTCTTCCTTGAGGTTTGTAAATATTGTTCCAGCACAGGAATTTCAGCTTTTATTCTTTTCCAACTTCCATTCGTGTGGCACGCACAGGTCAAAGAAGCAATGGAAAGTTGGAAACCTTCTAATCAATAGACATCTCAGTGGCGGAAATTATTTGCCAGTAGCAGAGCCAGCACATCACCGGGAACATTAGCTGCTGTCAACAGTCCTCAAGCCTGTTTCCATAACCGATAATGATTGTTAATATGTCACCACTGAATTAGAGACTCAGCAAAGACATTTGTCCTTTGACTATTAAATGCCATTGGGGAATGACCCTCAAATTTGCCTTTGTGTGGATAAGTCCAGCAGTGCCTGCTTTTACAAGAAATGTTGTGTCTGACCTCAGGTGCTAAAGGCAGAAGAGTAACCTGGGATTCGTGACAGACCTGGCTCCTCTTCGACTATTGACCTCATTTATAATCCTGTCAAAGCTCGTGTCTCCATTCCTGCCAGCTCCACTCCCGTCTTTTTGCTCATTCCTTGAGATGTTAGGAAATATCATTCTTCCTGCTGTGCTAGGCTGGGTCCCAGGTGCTCAGAGCAAAACTAAGTCTGGAGTGTTATGGCTCCTAATGTTCGTTTCTTTCAAAATACACACACACACACACACACACACAAACGCGCAAAATACACACACACACAAACGCGCGCACACACACATTTTCTGTAAGGCATATCACTTGCATTGGGCTGGCGGGCCCTGATGTTGAGTTGGGGTCATGAGTCCACTTTCCTCCTCCCTGTTGATCAGTAGTCATGCTCTGCCATGTGGTCTCAGTCAGGGCCAACTCTAATCATCACACAGTCTTACAAATCTGAACTGCAAATCCATAAAGATCTTTTTTCCTTATGTGAATTTATGTTGGCGAATAGATACAGGGTGAGGATGAGAGGAGGGAGCACAGTCTGATGACACACAGCAACCGCATCTGTAAAAGTAGATTAAAAAATGTCCTTCCGTGGGTGGATCCTTGCCTCAAAACTGCAAGCCCCAAACAGACCACTCCAGTAGTAATAGTTCTCAGAATTCCAGACAGTTTCCACCTACTACAGCTTCTGAGAGCTTAAAATGGCAGCTTCAAAAATATTAACATCCAGTCTGCACCGGCCACCACCCCATGAGCGTGGGGCTACGCCCTTCCCGTGCCTGACCCTACCCAGTGCGCACACGGCCCGCGGAAGGGGACAGCACTGTTCCCGCCCAACAGAGGGAGAAATGGGCTCAAAGCTACTCGGTCGGGAAGTGTGAGGACATGCGTCAAGGCACGTCTGGGCTCAGAACCACACACCGTGCGTGCGGCGCTTCCTCGCACTGGCCGCGCTGCTGCTTCTCTGGCCAGGCCGGTGCTGCTCTGAGTGCGCAGAAAGCCCTCTCCGTGCTCCTGCGCTTCCATCACAGCTTCCACCCCACTCTGCTGGCCCTAACCTTCCTACAGCCGCGTTTGTTCACTTCTCTCCGACACGGAAAAGGCCCGTGCCAGCCAGCCTCGTGGTTCTTTAATTCGGTCCTGAGCATGGTGTCTTTGTGCTCTAGTCTTTTACCGTGCCCTGGTGTTATGGATGTGGGAGGTAAGCTTCCAGCTCTCTCGCAGGCACTCCTGGACCCTCCTCCTGCTTCTCTGAACGCGTTTCCCGAACCCCAGGCTTAGAACAAGTTCTCTGGAGGTTGGGTCAGAAGAATTTTTGTGGTAGCAAGGACATAGAAAAGTGATAGGTGATAGATCTGCTAAATATTTTGTATTAGGGTTCTCTAAAGAAACAGAACCAATAAGAGATTATATATATATTATATATATTACATATATATATATGTAAAGGAGATTTATTATGGGAATTGGCTCATATGATTACAGAGGCTGAGAAGTCCCACGATCTGCCTTCTGCAAGCTGGAGACCGAGGAGAAGTATACTTCAGTCTGAGTCTGAAGGTAGCCTGAGAACTGGGGTAGGAAGACTTCGGATCTCGCTATGACTCGAGTACACTAGTGGACTTTTCAATTTACATAAGAAAGTACGTTATCTTTTTGTTTAAGCCAGTTGGGTTGATTTTCTATCACTTGGATACAAAAGCTCCTAACTATTGCAACATTCTTCCCATGAGTCATTAGATGGTTCCTCGTGCAAAAGGATTGCCCAGATGCTGTTGTCAGACAAACTGACCCCAGAACACCCCTCTGCTAACATATACCCCTACATCCAGGATCTTGTCTACACACGAAAAACAGCTTTGTAAATAGCAAACTGAGTACCAGTGTGTGAATACTGCTACCGAATAGCAGTGTTCATATGCCTCAGCGTGAGCTGAACTTCTGTGTGACAGCTGAGGAAGGACAACGTCTGAGGCTCTGGGTACAGCTTCCACAGGTGGGATGGAATGGGGTGTTAAGAAGAGGCTGCAAGTGATAGATATTTAGAAGTGAACATCTTAATTTTGCCTCATACCATGTTTCCATTGATTGATTTTTGGACCTGAACCAAGAATAGCAAAACTGAAAACTTAATAAAAACAAAACCCATGAAGTGAAGAAGATTCTTCATAATAGCCCAAGTTAGAGTAATGAAGTGAGCTAATCTAATTTGAAGTATAAACAAAGTAATTACTTCACGCAATGGGACTGACTCATTTTGTTTCAGAACTAAATACCACCAAGTAGAGGGTAGATCAGGGAATCTGGCCTAAATATACCCAGGGGTGGGAGAGAGAGATGTTAATTATTCCATTAGGGGACAGAAGAAAAAGAAAGAAGTTCTCCTATGGCAACCGACCATAAAGTTTTTTTTTTTTTTTTTTTTTTTTTTTAGGCTAGAGTGAGTGCCGTGGCATCAGCCTAGCTCACAGCAACCTCAAACTCCTGGGCTCAAGCAATCCTGCTGCCTCAGCCTCCCGAGTAGCTGGGACTACAGGCATGCGCCACCATGCCCGGCTAATTTTTATATATATATATATTAGTTGGCCAATTAATTTCTTTCTATTTATAGTAGAGACGCGGTCTTGCTCTTGCTCAGGCTGGTTTCGAACTCCTGACCTTGAGCAATCTGCCCGCCTCAGCCTCCCAAAGTGCTAGGATTACAGGCGTGAGCCACCGCGCCCGGCTTAAAGTTTTTTAAAAGAGATAATTCAAATAGCACTCAACCCACCATGCATATTATGAGAGGCTCATTGGGAGAAACAATGTAGATTTTAAAAACTCACTACAAAATGGAATTCCATTTTCCACTTATGGTTAGACCGGAGTTTTCAGGGCCAGGCATGTTAATTGGCTTTCAGATATTAAGTTCTGTGGAAAGAGGGAATATTTTTTAAATTTCCTTTAAAATAATGATTTCCATCATTTTTCATGTCATGCACACAGAAAATGACAACAAATTTATGACACTACGGTAAAAGGACTAAGTCATCTGAGTCAGAGGTTGCTGACCTGGGCCATGTCCAGGTCCACCCCATGTCCACCCAGACCCACTAAAGATTGAGGGACACCTCTTTTGCACACAAGCAAGCTGGGGCCACCAGTTAAGAAGTCCCCATCAAAGACTGCCTGTGGCACAGAGCACAGAGCCACCCACTGAGGCCACATGGGGCAGAAGACAAGGCACTGGACTAGAAGGCAAAGAGCAATAAGTTGGTTCTAGTCTGTGAAGTCAAGGACGTTGAACAAGGGCCTTAACCTTGGTGGCCCTCAATCTGCTCACGTGCAAAACAGGGTGAACGGCATCCTACCTTCTCTCCCTCACAGGGTCACTCTGAGGATCAGGAGTATCATGTTGGTGAACATCATTTGCAACCATAGAGCACTACAGAAATGTGTGACCAGATGAGGACGATGGGTGTGATAATACTTCCTCCCCAGCCCCACGCCCTCATCTGGACCACTTTTACTTTCAAGAGTCCCCTGCAGTGGACAGGAGGTGACACCGTGGAGAACAATGCAGCTGCGGAACCTCAAGTGGCCGGGAACACAGAGTGTGGGAGGTCACTCTTGCAGCTGGGCTTCTGAGTTGGGCCAAAGAGCTTCAGGGGTTTTGGCTTCCTGAGCACCTCTGTTGAAACTCCCTGGGGAATTTTGCTTTATGAAATTCCCAGCAACTGGAGATCCCACTGGGTTGGTGAATAGGAGCCTGGAGGCCTCCCTGTTGGATGAAAAGATGTGTTTGAAGTCTGCTGGGAAGAGCTGTAGGAGGGAGCCCAGGGTTCTTCCACGACTCCCACTGTGCATTGACAGAAGCTGCCCCTACCACTGTTTATTGCCAATTACTTTTGCCTCCACGGCCAAAGAAAATATATTTGAAATGAGCCGTTTGAATTAGATTCATCTTTCACTAGTGTCCACAGATGGTGAAATATTAATGAACAGGTGGGTTGCACAATAATTCAAGATTGCATTAGAATTGATTTTTATAGGCTAAATTATTAACACCAGAGGTGCTGACATATATTCTGGTAGAGTTAGCAAACCCAGAAGCCATTAACATCAACACAGAATAGATTTGGAAGTATCAAACACAGTGTTGTTTTGCTGGGAATAAAGTGGCAGGTAAAGGGATGGAGATCACATCTCCATACGTCTCTGGAAACAAGGACAGCTAATTTTGTAATGCACTGCCAGAAAAATCTGTGGCAATCCCTTTTCTGGAAATTTCTAAATTTCTTTTCAACCTGGGAAGGGCGTTCTGTGATGTTTACTAGAGTAAGAAGGGATGGAGGAGACAGAGTCATTCTTCTGGAAGTCATGTCTGTAAATAGAGCAAATCTTGGGATCCCTCAAATTTCAGTCTATGCGTAGAATTACAGTAAAAAAGGCACCGTCTAGCAGCTAAATAGTAACTAAAAACTGTTCCAATCATGACTGATGCCTCACAAAGGTCATTCTTCAGGTATCACTTCTCAAATCCTTTCCTCCAGACCACAGGGTTGTCCTGCTCCTCCCTTGCGTCGGTGCCTGTGCTTATCAAAGCCTAAACCTCTTCTCTTGCCCTGAACAGCTCTATAAAATATATGGACCTTGCTTAGATTCTGATTTGAGCAAACCAACTGCAATGCAGCACTTTGAAGACAAAGAGAAAATTTGAATTTAGACTGTGTACTAGATGATACCAATAACTTATTGTTAGTTTTGATAGGTATTGTGGTTATTTACAAAAACACTCCTATTTTGGGCAATGCACCTTAAATCCAGAAGCGTAAAATGACATGATTCTGAGATTTGCTTTAGCATAATTCAGCCAAAATAAAGGAGGAATGAAAGAAAATGGTACAGGTGAAGTAAAAGTTGGAAAATACTAATAAGTCTGGATTTGAGTGGTATTTGAAGTTCATTATACTATATTCTCTATTTCTGTGTATTCTTAAAATTTTTTCTAGGAAAATTTTTTTTAAAAGAGAGAGAGAAGTGAATGCAAATATACTCAGAATATCATAAGAGAAGACAAAAACAAATTAGAGAAATATATTTTAAAACAATAACAAAAGAGGCATTTTGTTGTTTGTTGACAGATAAGTCCATCAAACAAGGCTGACATATTTGAGTACCATTCATGGAACCAAGGGTCAGGGGTGTAGTATGAGGTATATTTCGATGCAAAGTATCAAAATTATAGAAGCGGGATTGTGCATATATTTCAAGCCCTTATAATTCTTTTAAGCCTGAATGGCCTAGCCCCATTCATAAAGTATTTTCTAAATTTATATTGCTCTTAAAACTAGCAATATCCTATTAGTTAATTTTCTAAAATTTTTAAGGAGACAGGTTGCTTTTAAAAGCCACTCTTGAATTAAGTAAAATATAGTGTAAGGTGAGGTCCGGCTTCGGAGGGAAGGGAAGTTGTGTTAAAACTGTTCAAGATGAAATTTAACCTCATATTTTTAAAGCATCACTTTCTGGCAGAATTCATGGTTTTCCTCCTACACTCTCCGGTCTGTGGTCAGTGTCTGGAGGAAAGTATTGCCTCTCGTAAGTGAGATTTTAGAAACTAGCATGGATTCTAAAAGGAGCAGCCATTGGAAAACAAAAAACATTCTCAAGATCCTCGAGTTTAAAGAGATCTGACGTCTGCAACAACACACATGAACCTGGAGGACATCATGCTAAGTGAAAAAAGCCAGGCACAGAAGGACAAATACTGCATGATCTCACTTGCATATGGAATCTAAAATAGTCAAAGTCGCAGAAGCAGAGAGTAGAATGGTGGTTGCCAGGGCCCCGGGTGTGGAGGAAATAAGATGTTGGTCAAAGGGTACGAAGTTTCAGCTATGCTAGATGAGTAAGTTCTGGAGACCTAACATACAGCATGATGACCACAGTTAGCAAGACTGCATTGTATACTTGAAATTTGCTAAGAAGGTAGATCTTAAGTGTTTTTACCACACGCGCACACACACACACACACACACACAGAAGGCAACTATATGAGGTGGTGGATAAGTTAACTAGATTGATAGTGATGATCTTTTTACAGTGTATACATATATCAAAACATCAAGTCATATATCTTAAATATATAAAATTTCTATTTGCCAGTTACACCACAATAAAGCTGAAAAAAATAAAAAATAATGAGAACTGATATTTGCACCCAATACCTGCCCAAAGCACAAGTTTCATTTAAAAACTACTCGAGAAATTTGGATTGACCTGCCCCATGCTGTATGAAGTGGGGCCAGCGTAAGGGCTTGCGTTGCTAATCACTAAAGCAGATCGCTCAGAAGCAGGGAAACAGGCTGGGCTGAGCAGAATATTGCCTAAGAAAGAACAATCAGAACCTTTCTGTGTCCCATAGCCACAATATTGCTCCAGCTTTGGCTCTTATTTGAGCAAGACCTTGTGTATGGGACATCGATCTAGCCAACTGGCTTAGTGGAGAATTTGCTCAAATTAGTTATATAGCAACTTGTTGGCAGAAGGTGAAATGACTGCTTGAATGTTTCAGCCTTAATGCTGACATGTGGAGACCTGAGCCAGGGGAATGAAGGCTCCTCCGGCTCTCGAGGTAAGACAAATACACAGGACCAGGAAAAAAGTGAGCCATCATGTTAGACACATGTGATTATGTGCAGAGATTTTAAAAGAGAAAAAGATATTTAGTCATCAGGGAGCAGGTGTTTGACTTAGACCTTGAAGGACTGGCAGGGTGAATCAAACAGAAGATATAACAGGAGCAAATGCACAGAGGCCGTGTGTAGAGTAGGTGTGGGGCAGGGGGAGGAGGTCCATTTGGAACACAAGGTTAAGTATAAAGGGGTGCAAGGCCCAGAAGATTTATGGAAATTCCGGAATACCAGAATGGGATTGTTAGGTGTTAGGTAGACACTGTGTGGGGTCATCAAAGATTTTTAAAACATGATCAGAGCTGCCCTGTTGAAGGCAAATCCAGCAGTGGTGAGTGAAATGAATTGGCGTAATGAGAGGCCCCACGATCATAATCACAGCTAGTATTGAGTACTTGGCAGGTGCCACTTCAAGTACACAACATGATTGAACTCTCAGAGCAAGAATTCTATTAGGGAGGCCACTTTATAGATGAGGAAATTGAGGGATAGGTTGATTATACAACTAGCCCAAATTCTTACAGCTTAAAGCAGTAGAGACAGTATTTTAATCTCGACACAGGGACCTGCTCTTGACTGCTTCCTAAGGAAGCTAGGAGGGGTGAGAGCTGATGAAGGTCTGAAATATTAATAGGAAGATGGTGATAGTAAATAAAAAGAGTGGTCAAACTCTTAGAAGCAGGATTGGCAGGGTTTAGCAAACAATTGCCTGCAGAGGTCCTTGACTTGGAGCCTGGGTGAAAGGAATGATGGTGTCACTAACTTAAATAAAGACACAAGAAGATAGACCTGGCATAGAATGAAAGATCACTAACATGCTTTTGGCTATGTGAAACTTGAGATTCCAGTGAAAATGTGCATCAGGCCACTGGGACGGTCATTTGGTTGCTAAAGAAGAAACCAAGATGTCAGGTGCAAGCGGCAGGGGAGCAAAGAGGCAAAGGAGGGTGGCAGAAAAGAAAATCAGCCCAGGTTTTCCTTTTCTCAGTTCAGGTTTTCCTTGCTCATCTCAGAATAGAGATAGCTTTTGGGTTTTGACAGCCATGCCCTCTCCAACCATCCACCCCCATTTAGGAATGAAATGGAGAAATGTAGGACAAAAGTTTACAAATCGATCATGTAGAATAATTCTTTGACCTCCCTTCTCTGGGAGGAAGAGAGGCAGCTCCAGGAGAAGTGTGAGGATTCTAAGTAGAATCATGAGTCTCTCTGCTCTGTGTTCCCCCAGAATGAGACAGGAATGGGAAGGCCTGGTCAGTCTTCCAGGGATCCACCACCATCGCTGGCCAGAGCAGGCTTGGCAGGGCTGACCCAAGTCAGGGAAGGCAAAGCAAGACTTCCAACTGGTAGGATATGCCCTTCTGAGACCCTCCATCTGAGGAGTCAGTCGGTTCTTAACTAAAATGTTCTAAACAACAGAAAGTGCACTGGGAGGGCAGGTTTCCACGGCTGAAGTCCCCAGCCGGCACTACACACGAATGACACAGTGTCAATGGGAAGGAAAGCAAAACAGTAAACACAGACAGAGTTTGTGCAATCCCATCTGAGTCAAGGAAATCACCTCATCACTCTTGTCTGATGGACAGATTCCCATCTGAGTTTATCATCTTCCTCACAACTTCCCTCAGCTCCAGCCAATGTGCATTCTTGTGTCAAATTGTATGTTCATGAGTACAAGACATGTTTCTCTTATGAATATGCGGGGTTATCACGGGACGGCTCTCCCACTACGAACTTGGAACTGCAGGAAATAAGATTGCCTTATGAGGACAAAACTTTAAAGTGAATGCTGATGAATCAGAGGAGAAATACAGGAAATCACTTTAAATAACAAATGTGTTCCTGGGACAGTAAGACTAGACTGATGAGATTAACATAGCTAAAGGAAATGCATCCATGAGAAGGGGAGTTCTACTGGGTTAGGAACAAGGCAACCACATTTAAGAAGTATTTGCTGAGTACCTACTATGTGCCAGCAGTGAGCTCATATTCGAGTTGGGGAAATGGAAGAAAGCAAGTACATATATGACCGACTACCCGGCAATGATATGTGTGTGTGTCCCAGGCAAAGGGTCCACAGAGCAGACAGCTCCTTGAGCAGCAGCAGAGGTGTGCTCATTCAAGTCCGGGCCACATTTGGGAAGGCTGCTTGAACGCACGGCCCCAAATCAGCATCTCCAGCACCTACTGGTGATATTTTGACCTACCTAATCGCTCTTCTGTTGATTTCGCTTGTGTGATTTTCATGAAGACATACACAGACAAAAGAACACATATCAAAAGTGAATTTTCCAAACGAACCCAGGTAAACAGCACGCCCAGGTAAACAGCACCATGAGTCCCTCCCTGTGACCCCTCTCAGCCCTCCTGCCACCAAGAGGTAACCACTATCCTGACACTAACACCAAAGAATTGTTTTGTCTGTTTCTTAACTTTACATAAATGGAAATATATAGCATATACATAGGGTCTGGCTTCTTTTACTCAATGTTATGTCTGTGAGATACATACACTTCATGTTATTGTTTGTATCAATGTATTGTTCTTTCTCATTGTCATATATTCCATTGTATGATTATATCACAGTTTAGTTACCCATTCTATTTCATGGACATCAGAGTCTTTTCCACTATTCTTTTAAGAAGTTATTTTCTTGCATAAATCCGTTAGAGCTGGTTTCTGATGTATGCAACTAAGAATCCTGCCTGATACATATTTGCTTTAATTCTAAATTTTATTGGGAGATCTAGGTTTTTAATGATCAAGAAAGTGTTTCTTTACAGAAATTCTTTCTTTTTAACTATGCTTTTGAGGACATAGACATTTTCTTCATCTGCTACTTGGCAAAGAATATCAACTTACTCTGTTTCAACAGTGAGGTCCAATGATCAAAAATAACATCCCATGCAGTTAAAGCTCTGAGTTCCCGGCTTCAATACAGTACTCTCTGGAACAGCAGCTCTAACTTGTGTTCTCTTAGATTGCTAAACAAGTTGGTTGGCAGCTTTTCTCCAGGGGGGGTCGGCGAAATGACTGCTTCCGGGCAGCTTGAGTGGCTTCATCTTGATTGCACAATGCCAGAGGTTTTGAGGTTGTGGTTTTCTGCACGTTCCCCATTTCCCTGGCTGCCTCTCTCGGGAACCCCAAAGAGCGTTATTAACAGGTAAACACAATCTGGTGAAAAAGGAAAAGAAAAACGCGTTTGAAAGAGAGTCATTTCACTTATTCATCAATTACTTGGGTCGTTCCATTGGTCATGCCTACCATCCCAAGGCCCCTCATGTGGGAGGGCACCCCGTCTGAGCAGGGCTGCAGGAGAGAGGGGTGGGCCACGCTGCGATGTCACCATTTCCCTCTTTGTCCAGCCTATAGCAGCTGCCAGTGCCATCGTTCAAGGCCTGACTTCTGAGCAATGAGTTGGGCCAGCCAGCGGTTGTTCCCCTGGGTTGTTCAAGGAGACTGACACTGGCAGTAACAGTGGCAAGTACGCACTGAGCACTTAGTATGTGTGCCAGGACTCTCGGTACCCACGGCAAGGATCCGCAGAGCAAACACGTCCACTTCATTAAAGGCCAGTCTCGCCTCTTATGCTCTGCATACCATCCCCTTGTCCTTCCCAGAGACTTCCCTCCTGCAATTAACCCGTCTGTCCCCTACCTGATTCATTCCTCCCTCCCTCCTGGATCACGTCCATGAGCAGTCAGACATGTTCTGGTGCTTCCTGTCAAAACAAAACAAAAAAGCCCAAAGAATCAAAAATGAAAAAAACCTTTGACATCGTACCTTCCTCTGTACACAATCCCATTTCTCAACCCTTTCACAGCACAGCTCCCCGAGCAGCTGTGTATAGGCACTGCTCCATTCCTGCACCTCCTATCCTTAGCTCAGCTGATGATGTCAGTCAGGCCTGCCTTCTCTCCTTGCCCTGACTCTGCTCGTTTCAAGGTCATGAACAACCTCCCTTGCCCAATGCAATGGTCACTTCTGTGTGTTCATCTTACTCAACTTTTCAAAAGCGCTGGATATGATTGACCACTCCCTCCTGCTGCACACCCTCTCCTCTCCCAGGGTCCAGGGCACCACTGCCTCTTCTCTTCCTCTGAGCTCACTGGCTGCATTGCCCCAGGCTTTTTTGCACCTTTCTCATTCCTTGTCTGGTCTCAGTGTTGGAATGACTCCAGGCTCTGTCCCAGCTCTTTCTTAGGCTGTGCATCTACCAGGGGTCCTCAAACTTTTTAAACAGGGGGCCCTCAGACCATTCGAGGACTAGACTGTAGTTTAACAAAAACTATGAACAAATTCCTATGCATACTGCACATATTTTATTTTGAAGTAAAAAAACAAACGGGCAAAAACACCTACATGTGGCCCACGGGCCGTAATTTGAGGGCGCCTGATCTATACCCTCTTCCTCAGTGAGCTCATCCGGTCTCACTGTCCTTAAATACCATCTGCATACTGATGACTTTCCAATTTAAAATTTCCAGTCTTGATCTTGCTGACTTATCCTCTAAGCTCCAGTTCCTATATCCTACTGCCTGCTCTGTAATCACTACCAGGATGTCTAGGAAGTTTTTCAAATTTAGTACAAACAAAGGTCTTGGTTTCCCAATGTCCGTCTTTGTCTCTCCCAATCCTTGCTCGTCTCAAAAAATAGCACCAATATTCACCCCAACGTTCAAGCCAAACATGTAGAGTTCATCTTTAAGTGCTCGCTCTACCTCACTTTCCCAAATGAATCATCAGCAAGTCTTGTTGACAACAGTTTCATGCCAACAATTAATTTTAAGAATCTTTTATTCATTTTAACTTGAAAGATTTTCAAAGTTGGAAAATAGGAGGGAAGACACCCATGTTTTCTCATAATTATCATTTTAATAGCACACATTGTCTCATTGCTCATTAAGTAGAAACATCCTAGTTTATTTCACAATCCCCCTGATGTTGCATCTTTAGACTTTTCTCACATTTGACTTTTATTTAATATAAATAATTAGCAGTGAATATCTGCATGCATGTGTAGGTGTTTTCTTTTTTCAAGTAGAGAAGTTGACTATTTTTGTTGTTGTTATTCTATAAAAGATCACTGAGTGGTTGCCTTAGTTATATAACAATGGGGAAATAGTTATCCATTGTTCTGGCATTCAGGTACCATAGAATTCTATCAAAATTGCCACTCTCTGAGAGCCATTGCAGTGCAAAGCTGATCACTAAAGAGGAGATATTTCATTCGTCTAAGGAGCAGGGCCTATAGCAGAGACGAAACGAACATCTAACAACTATCCCCCACAGTTCAAAATTAGAGAAACCGAGAGGTGTGAACTGGTGTGACGACCCAAGATCCCTTGGCTGAGAAAGGTAATGGCCCTAGTGACAAAGTTCCCGAGGAAAGGCAGAGTCAGGCTGTGGTCCAGACGTAGCACGAGGGATGGTTGCACACATTGTACAACTGAGGCTGGAAGCCTGTCTGGGTCCAGCCACCCGGGAACAATGCTCCTGTTCTGGGAAGGACAACTCAACATGGCAACACAGGCCTCAGAGCTGGAATGTGGAGACTGTTAATAAGTTCAGCCCTGCGGCTTCAAAGGTCCCTGTGCTGGGTCCACCGGTGACCTCAGTACACCAGCGGACACGGAGGCCCGGGGCCATTCTCAGCAGTGAGGCAGGTGGTCGTGGCAGAAGCAACAGAGATGGAAATGGAGGAGCTGCTGTGGACTGGCCTGATGCTCTACTCTCTCTCTCACCCTCTTTGGGCTGAATAGGCTCCCCGTACTCTTGCCCAGTAGGGGTGGGTTTGGGAAACAGCCTCAAAATCATCCCGAGACTTCCTGCTAATAAGGTATCAGAAGTCCAAGCGACTAACTAGGAAACATGTTAGTTTTTGTACCCCGACACTGTGGGGCTGGCGTGCAGGTCACACACGGTTTGCCCTATTTGGGATGCTTTCCTTAGACTATGTTCCCAGAAGAGGGATCACTGATTCAAAGGACATGAACATTTTTATGACTCTTGGCCTAAATTACAATTTTTTTCCCAAAGAGATGCACTAATTGTCACTCTCTGTTTCCCCACGCTCTCTCTAGTGATGAGTAATTGACTTGATTTTCTTCAGTCGAAGCCAAGCATTCTTGGGAAGAACGATCAGTGTGAGAAGTCGTAGCCCACAGTGGATCCACGCTCGGTGCAACTGTGAAGTTGGCAACGTTTCTAGACCCACTTGTCGCCTCTGGTTCTGCGACAGCATTCCCAGGCTCCTCCCCGTGTCCCTCCTGCACGCTCCCAGGGACATCCCTTCTGTACCAGCCCCCTTGGACACTCACACCCTCACCCTCCCTTCTCCGTGCTCATTAAAACCGGCTTAGGAGCAGATATGACATCAGTCACTTACCTCTTCATGTGGCTCTAAATCAAAGTGTCACCTCTCTCAAGCACATGCTTGCCTCTTAGCTCTGATTGAGGAATGAAAAGCTTTGTTCTCTGTTAAAGGAACTTTGAGCTTAGATGCCCCAGACTGAGAAATCTACAAAAAGCTGGACCTTTGACTTGAGGGGCAAAGGACCCTCATACACAGGCTGTGATTTGAGGACCATCGAGAGGCCAGAGTTTCAAAGTTGGGACCTGGAAGTTGGGATTGGCCGGGGGAGGGGAGGAGCAGCCGGGGACTCTGAACCTACCAGAGGAATGCGGTGGTGGGAACCGAACGCAGGATAAGGAATGAAAGTTGAAGCCTCAGATGCTGAAAGCATTCTTCATCAATATCAGCATTTTACCCAGAGCCACTGCAAGGTGAGCATAACTCACTCAAAATAAAAACCTGAAAGTTGTTTTTATGCCAACAAATAAAGTGCAATTTAATAAAAAATTGTCAATCATTTTTATATAAACCGTATTTGGGCCATGAATGGTTTTGTCTTTTGTAGTTACGACACAAAAGCTTTTAGTCCTGCTCATGGTCATATCATTGCGTGAGCTTGGGCAAGCCTCACAACCTTACTGACCTTGACTTTCTTATTTTGAGCTATAGACAATTACAACCTGCCTTTTGGCCTGGTGGGGGTGCTGGTGAGCGTGGTAAATTGGGCGTTTACCAATGGGTGAAGGTCAGACATGCTCTTTAATGGCCAATTCCAAGCATCAACTATAATCAAGGTCTAAAATCTCTAGGAATCCAAAATTAAGTAACAGGAATTGAATGCCTTGAGCCTCTTGTCTAGTGACATGACTGTGTAGTTGATAGCCTACAGCCAAGATTTGTAAGATACTAATTGGAATATAATACAAAACCCACAGAGAATAAAGGACAAAGGGAACTTAAAAAATAAGAGGCAGGAAATAATAAAATGATATTTAATTTGGACATGTGCCCCTAATGCATCTGGAGAAAACTCAACAAAGCATAAATATCAGTGGGAAAACCTAGAGAGATGAGCTGCAATTGCTCTAAAAGATACAGGGACAGGAAATCGGATAGGAGTTTGCAGTGCTGCTGTGGGCTGCAGGGATGGCCCTTTGTGCCTGCAAAGGGAAATGAGAGTTTATCTCTGAATAATCCGATGGCACTGTACACAAAATAAGACTAAAATGTGTCATCTCTCGACTGCAGGGGTTTCTACGTTCCGCAGGTCAGTCGGGGATGTGGGTGCAGGGACAGGGCGGTCAGACGTCTTCGTGAGATCTTTGCCGCAGACTGGCTGCGTGACATTAAATATGTTTAAACTCATCTGACCCTCGAGTTTAGCTCAACAAAATAGAAGAAAATCTCCCTTTCGGGGTTGTTGGAAGGACTACAGATAAAGCATATAGAGACTCCGGCAGATGGGAAATGTCAAATAAATGTCAGCTAGCAGCAGCAGCAGCAGCAGGAGAGATGAAAGCTGACTCCCGAGTTGTCGGACTCTGCAGATCTCAGAGTCCTTCCCTGCTCTAAGGGTCCCGGGTCCCCAGTCCCCATGCACACGCACCTGTGTTCCTCACCAACAGCCAGCGAGAGAGCTCGAACACTGAAACAAGGGGAGCCTGAGAAGGCAGAGAGAGGGGTGTGGGCTGGTGGCCAGCTGCTCAGCTGAAGCTCCGCCAACACCACCAAACACAAATCCATGTAGTGAGTTTCTTAAATGGACTCAATAGAATCAAATCTAGACTATTGCCCCCTTTTAAACTATCTATTTTTCCAGTGGCAAAGTAGAGCACTTTCTTAGTATGTTCTTTCTACAAATTACGGTGTGATGCATGCTAAACACATGCTTTGCCAATGATTTCGTGTATATGTTTACAGGAAAATGTTAACCACATGTTTTGCTACATGCTTGCTGTGAGTGATTTGAAGAGAAGTTGTTAGAGGGTGGGTCCCTAGCACCCCATTAAGTCCCTGGTTGGCATCATAACAGCCTCCTAGCTGTGGAGCAGGTAGTTCCTAGGAAAATAGGGACCCATGGGGAAATGTCCTTGATCCTGATTAACAAGGGGAGCTTCTGCCCACATTGCATTCTCAACAGCAGAAGTGACAGTTGTGCACATCAGAACCCTCAGAGACCCCAAATAGCAGAGAAGGGAAGGGACGGGAGGGGAAGGGGGAAGATTTTACCTCCTTAACTTTCTCTAGGCAGGAGCCCATTGCAGTGAAAGCTATTTATGTCAACCAGAGTCTCTGAATTTGTTTAGATATGATGTTGACTTTCTATGGATGAGTCAGGTTTTCTTGTCCTCACCCAAAAATTTTTCCTTGTCCCTCTCACTTCATTGGTTTCAGATGAGTATAGTGGTGCCTTCAGGTCAGAGCACTTTTCAGAGAGGGATAATCAAAAATAAAGCCTCTGTGTACAAAGGGAGGGGGGAGAAAGAGCAAGTGCAAGAGCAATAGACCAAAATTTGAGCTATGAGAAAGAGGAATTTGAGAGGTAAAGAAGAACAGAATTCAGAATTTGTAAGCTATGACTGACTTCTCAAAAGCTGGCAAACAATTTGAAGCTGGAGTCTAGAACATAAAGAAATTTATGAATGATGGCAATTTTAGCTAAGTTGAGAGAAATGCATTGAACTTCAAATGAAAATAATGTTCAAAGAGGTGAACATGGGGTCCATTCAAGATGTGGAGGGAAATGATGAGGAGGGAAGTCCCAACAAAAAGAGACTAGATGGTATATGAAAAAGAAGTGAGATTCAAGTAAAGATTCACAGACACACATACACACACACACAG